ATATATATATATTATATATATATGTATATTATATATATATATATATAATATATATAATATATATATATATATATATATATATATGAATAGATAAATAAATATATGGTGTTTATCATATATTTATTTGTGTGTATATATATATATATATATATATATATATATATATATATATATATATTATATATATATATATATATATATATTTTATATACAGAGAGAGAGGGGGAGAGAAATGCAGAGATGCATAGATACATAGATATAATCATTATAATGCGTTTATATTCCTGCCCGTGTGTTGGTCCAGTTTAGAAAAATGAGACTTGAATGTCGCTTGTAAAAAGGAAAGCTGCATGCACGTTGCTGACCATAACAGAAAACGGGATCATCTTACATTTGGCAATTTACGTTTTTCGAAATTTATTTTTTCTACAATAAAATACCGGTGCAATTGCACTTTCCTTTCTTCCACAATATTGTTTTATGCTAAAGATATAAGGAAAAATAGTGTCGTGTGCAGTTAGAGTCAGAAACAAAAAGGTATAATTCAATATTGATGCCGCACAGATATACCATATATAGCAGTAACGGGTTAAGATGATTAATGAATTATAACAATAATGGGTTAAGATGATTAATGAATTATAACAATAATTAACCAGCATTTTATTGCCACTCTCCTATAAAGTCCCGGCCAGAAGTTTCGTCCCATGACTGGAGTCTCGAAACTAGCTTCACAAGGTGCTTCATTCGGACTAGAAACACACTTGACTGGATTCACGACCGATAACAGGCATTCAGCATACATACATGGTCACCCAAAGTCATCCCGAGTTCAAGGATAGTTCATAATACTTTGCGGGCGACACAGCGTCCATAGACGAGCAATGGCGATTCTCCAAAGTTCAAGAGGAACTTATGGGTCAGCGCTGCAGGCCTTCCGGACGGGCGACCTCAGCGGCACATCCCGGTTCCGCCTCGTCTTGGCCGTTCAAGGACGAGCGGGACGGCCGGTAGTGGCGAGCTTCTGCCGTTCCGCACTTTCTACCGGGAGCGACTGGGGTCTCTCGTCGTGTTGGTCTTTTCTCCTTATTTTTCTTTTTTTGTTTGCTCGCTTTTCATTCATTTCGTCTTCGTTTTCTATTACCAATATCATTATTTTTGCCATTATCGTTATCGTTATCAGTATCCTTCTTCTTCTTCTTTTTCCTCCTCCTCCACCACCTCCTCCTCCTCCTTCTTCTTTTTTCATCTTCTTCCTCTTCTTCTTTTTTCTTCTCCATCTCTTCCTCTTCTTCTTCCTCCTCCTCCTCCGCCAACTCCTCTTTTTTTTCATCTTCTCCTTCTTCCTCTTCTTTTTTCTTGTTCTTGTTCTTACTCCTCCTCCTCCTCCTTCTCTACCTTCTCTTCATCCTCCTCATCCACCACCTTCATCTCATCCACCTAATTCTCCTCTTCTTCTTCCTTCTCCTTCTCCTCCTAATCCTCCTCATCCACCACCTCCACCTCATCCACCTCTTCTTCTTCCTCCTCTTCCTTCTTCTCATCCACCACCTCCACCTTCTCTGTCTTCTTCTTTTTCTTCTTCTTCTCCTCTCCCTCTCCTCCTCCTCCACCTCCTTCTCCTCTTCCGCCTTCACCTCCTTTTCTCTTTCTTCTTCCTCCTTTTCCTCTTTCTCCTCCTCCTCCTCCGCCAGCCCATTCCCCTTGACACCGGGATGATGAGACCTCTTGGGGCCCGCGGGTTACGAAAGACACGGAGAAGGATTTTGGCCCCTGGATTCGGTGGCTTGGCGGGAGTTGAAAGCCGAGATCAGCCGGAGCAAATTGGTCCTCCTTCAGGTAGTTCTCCGAAGCCTGGGGAGTTGATGTCGAGAATTGAATCAGATATCGTAGGTAAAAAGATGTCAAAAAAAAAAATATATATATATATATATGTATATCTTTGGGAAGAAAAAGTATCGTTGAAAGACTAAACAGTTTTTTTTTTTTTCTTTTTTACAGTTCGTAAGGTTGTTTTCTTTTTTCTATGTCGTCCTATGCGTCTATGTTTTCTCTTTCTTTCCCAGCCCAGGGATGACGAGGTTAGAGTGTCCTTGCGTCTTGGTAGCAGCTCCTTCTCTTGCTACGAAGGATCTGTAACCTTGACTTACATCTTCCCTGCTTGCGCTTCGTGGGTAATGTGACGCTGATCATGTGACTCTGACAATTTCTTTAATTTTTTTATGAATTGTACATTGTTGGAACTTGTTTTTATGTATTTTTGTACATCGTATTTCAGTGTACACAATAGTTTAAGTTTTGATTTAAATGCGAGACTGCATCTGAAATTTGATGGGAAACGTTTCGTGATCAAATTGTACTTTTTAAGAATATGTATGTATGTGTGTGCATGTGTCTGTGCGTGTGTCGGTGTGTCTGTGTGTGTAAAAGTGTATATATTTTCCTTTTTTTTGTTTTTTTTTTCAGCAAGTTCGTCCGCCTCAGTCTGTACCTTTCTCTTCTCCCCTTTTTTTCTTCCTGGTTCTCTCTGCCTCGGTCTTGCCTCGAGGAATCCAGGATCTACCTAATACCCTCCTGTTGCAGCCCCAATTGCAGTTATTTCTTACGTTCATATAATCGCTAAACTCCAAGGACGGGCGTGATTGCAAGAATAAGATCAATTGCGTCCTTTTTCCTCGTGCCTTTTAATATAGTTTCGTGGGTCGTGGCCTTCGTAATAGGTTGTGACGTCACGATGAAGATTGGCGACCCAAGATGCTGTCACGAGACCCGCATGGAGGCGGCGTTGCGTAACTAAAAAGTCACCTTCGTTTTATTTGGGTTTTGTTTGTACAAAGGTGGGTGCTTGTGTGTGTGTGTGTGTGTGTGTGTGTGTGTGTGTGTGTGTGTGTGTGTGTGTGTGTGTGTGTGTGTGTGTGTGTGTGTGTGTGTGTGTGTGTGTGTGTGTGTGTGTGTGTGTGTGTGTGTGTGTGTGTGTGTGTGTGTGTGTGTGTGTGTGTGTGTGTGTGTGTGTGTGTGTGTGTGTGTGTGTGTGTGTATGCGTATGAATATTCAAACCTTGTCTTTATTCCAAACGCGGCTGGATCAAAAGACAAAATCGGGGTTCACAGATGCCTAGAATCTCGATTTATCTGCATGATTTCCCGACGATACCCGTAATCTGGATCGTGGTATGACATATGCCCGTTGGTTTGAAATGCACTCATGGTTGTCGTTCGGTTATTTTTGCTGTAAGGGGAATTATCAACCTTTTTGTCACAAACTGTAAAGGAAGTGTTTATTGGTCATACGCGCACACACGCACAAGCACACGCACAAGCACAAGCACAAGCACAAGCACACACACACACACACACACACACACACACACACACACACACACACACACACACACACACACACACACACACACACACACACACACACACACCACACACACACACACACACACACACACACACACACACACACACACACACACACACACACACGCACGCACACGCACACGCACACGCACACGCACACGCACACGCACACGCACACGCACACACACACACACACACACACACACACACACACACACACACACACACACACACACACACACACACACACACACACACACACACACACACACACATACACACACACAAGCACACACACAAACATGCCTATGCAGCACACGCAGCACACGCAGCACACGCCACGGACACACACAACACTTGCACAGATACATATATTGTATACGTACACATATTTACCGAAATATCGCGAATCAAGATTAATGTTATCAGGTGCGGTTCATTTAATGATGCCAGGTGTTTCTTTTTCTGGTGACCGAAATAATCTTAAAAAGTTCTGAAACAGAATTTTGAAGAAAGAAATCAGTTTCACTGATGTTATGCCAATTTTGAATATTACCCCTATGTAAATAATTTTTATCTGAACCCATTTTAGAGCTATTTACGCGTTGCTGTATATTAATATAAACGACATATTTACATTAGGTCTCCCTTTGAAAATCCATTTACACGCGTCGTCTTAGAGTAAAGTACATATACTCGTAGTGTAAGAGATCCATTCATTGACCGTCCTATAAATAACATTTGTATATCCAAATGAGAGAACAGCTGATACGCCACCTGCCACCTGTACGATAATTATTTTTATTCGTCACCTTAGCGTATGTTTACAAGTGTGACACATTCATCCTTTAGTGTGGTATGTGGGCGTGCGTAGGCCTGACCTCCGCGCGTGGTTGGCGACCTTAGCACTGTTGAGGTCACTTAAAAAATGAAGAAGAAATAAGGAACTGGAACTCCGTCGGCAGCTGCATTCATGGATCATTTATTTTCATTTATGGACTTCTGGTTTGGCGTGGTCAGGTTTTTTGTTGTATTTGTTTTGAATTATTTATGCTGTTGTTTGGTTCTTTATTGTTTGTGGGGTAGTTTTGTTGCTGTTCTTATTATCATTATTCTTTATTATTATCATTATCATCATTCTTTGTTATCATTATTATCATCATTCTTTATTATTATTGTTATTATTATCATTAGTATTGGTAGTAGTAATATAATTATTATTGTCATCATCATCATCAATTGTTATTAATTGTTATCATACTCATCATAAGTGAGGTTATTGTTACAGCTATTATAACTTCCATTACACCTGCTACAACTACTACTGCTTATGTTACTAGGTGTTTACGCGCGCCCTTTCTCTTGCAATGGGCGCAGGCAGTGGCGCAGAAATTTAGCACTGGCATTTACCTCTTGCGTGGCACATCGCCGGCGGCAAGGTAAACACGCCCCATTTACTCGAGAGCGTTGAACTACCCTTGACAGCTCGGCCACTGGGTAGAGCATACTATCACTGGAATATAATTTTCCTAAGCGCCCGAGCGAAGGTCAGGCGCTCTGGGAACCGGAAATTATGAAGAAAGGAGAGAGAAAAAAAAGGAACTGGATCCTGACCAAACCTTCTTCCTTCCGCAG